GTTTTTGTTTTTGTTTTTTTTTTCATGGCTGAATAGTAGGTGGAACTCTGAAACTGTTGGCTAGCAAGAAGAGGCCAGTCTCTGGGACAAAGGGGATTAGGAAATTAGCAAATAAAAGATGAGAGAAAAATATCCCAAACTGCCAACTGGGCTGAAGGACTGGGCAATGGTGTGGGGGAACCTAGCTGGAGCTGGGTGGGGCTAGAGCCAGTGGTAGCCCTGCCTCAGAGTCCCTTGTTGGCCACAGGGCAGTGGATGGAGGCTGGAGGCTGTTGGCTAGCAAGAAGGGGCCAGTCTGTGACACAAGGACAGATAGGAAATTAGCAAATAAAAGAAGAGAGAAAAAAAAAAGAACAAAAAACTGCCAAACTGCCTACCTGGCTAAAGGACTGGTCAATGGTGTGGGGGAACCTAGCTAGACTTTTGTGGGGCTAGTATAAGAGGTGGCCCTGCCTCAGAATCCCTTGCTGGCCACAAGCAGTAGATGGAACTGAGAGACTGTTGGCTAGCAAAAAGAAGCCAGCCTATGGGACAAGGAGTGGTAGGAAATTAGAAAATAAGAAAAAAAAAATAAAACAACCTGCCTATCTGGCTGAAGAGCTGGGCAATGGGCAATGGTGTGGGGGAACCTAACTGAAGCTGGGTGAGGCTAGGGCCAGTTGTGGCCCTACCTTTCAGAGATTGGGCAATGGTGTGGGAGAACCTAGCTAGAGCTGGGTGAGGCTAGGGCCAGTGGTGGCCCTACCTTTCAGAGTCCCTTACTAGCCATGGGGAAGTAGATCTGTATATTGATTTTATATCCTGCCCCTTTGTTGTGTTCATTTATCACTTCCAGAAATTGTGTGTGTGTGTGTGTGCATGAATTCTTTTTTATTTTCTATATATAACGTCATATCATTTGCTAATAATTTCACGTTTTCTTTTCCTAGTTGGATGCTTTTTATTTGATTCTCTTGTCTAAGTGCATTGACTACAACTTCAATTACTATGTTTAAAAGGAGTGAAGAAAGTGGGCAGCATTGTCTTATTCAAGTTCTTAGTGGATAAACTTTTAGGGTTTTCCTGTTCAGTACGATGTTAACTATGGGTTTTTCACAGATGGGTTTCTGTTGAGGAATGTCCCTTCTATGCTGATTTGCTAAGAGTCTTAATCATGAAGGTCTATTATGTTTTATTAAATGCTTTTTCTGCATCACTTGATATGGTAATATGGCTTTTATCTTTCCTTTTGTTAACGTGATGTATTACATTTATTGCTTTTCATATGTTGAATCATCCTTGCATCCCAGGAATAAAGCCTACATGGTTATGCTGTTATAATCTTTTTTAATATGTTGTTGAATATGATTTGCTAATATCTCACTGAGAACTTTTGCATTCATATTTATCAGGGATATGGGCCATTCTTTTTAGGTCATGTCCTTCTTTGGTTTTGGAATTGAGATAATGGAGGCTTCATAGAAACCTTCATAGAATTTGAGAGAGTTCCTTCCTTTGATTTTTAGAAACAGTTTAAGAAATATTGGGGTTAGTTCTTTAACATTTTTTGAATTCAGAAGTAAAGCCAGCAGGGCATGGGCACTATTTTTGTTGGAAGACTATCTATTACTGATTCAATCTCATTCCTTGTTAAGGGTTTATACAGATTTACTCTTTCTTCCTGGTTCAATAGTGGTTAAGTTTTATGTGTCCAGAAATTTGGCCATCTTATCTAGGTTTCCTTGTTTGTTGGATCATAGTATTCTTTTTTTAATTTATTTTTTTACATTAATTCACTATACATCATTATAGCATACAAAATGAATTTTCCATCCAGAATACTTTGATGATATTTTGCATTTCTGTTATATCTGTAGAAATAATGCCTCTTTTCTTGCTGATTTGATTTATCAGGTACCTTTCTCTGTTCTTGATTAATCTAGTTAAGGGTTTTTAAATTTTGCTTATATTCTCAAAGAGCTAATTTTTGGTTTTGTTTATTTTCTATATAGATCTTTTATTCTCTTATTTATTTCTGTTTGAATCTTTATTATTTTTTTCTCCTGGAATTTTTTTGTGTGTTTGATTTTCCAGTTCCCTGAGTTGTGAAATTAGGTTGTCTACTTGCCAATTTTTTCCTTTTTTCTTGTGGGCACTAATTTCTATGAACTTCCCTCTTATAACTGTTTTTGCTGTGTCTGTAGTGTATAAACATTTGCTTGTTTGTTATCATTGCTTCCTATCAACTTTTTTTCTTTATTTTATTTTAATTTTTTATATACATTCAATCACATTATTTAGTAAGGTGTGGTGAAAGGGGAACTATCAACATGTTGATATCAGTCTTAATTCCTTCTACAGTTGTAAAGTCATTCAGAATTCCTACTATAGTTGTAAAGTCATTCAGGAGTAGGTTGTTTAGTTTCCATGTGTTTGTGAATTTTCAAGGATGTTTTCTGTAGTTGATTTCACATTCTATACCATTGTGTTTGAAAAAGATACTAGATATAGTTTCTCTACATTTAAACTTGTAAAGGCTTGTTTTGCGAGCTAGTATGTGGTCTATCTCCAACAACATCCCATGTGAGAGTGAAAAAAAATGTATATTTTGTGGTGGTTTGGTGAAATAATCTGTAGATGTCTGTCAAATCCATTTCATGTATGGCATCATTTAGATCTTGTATCTCTTTGTTTATTTTTTTTTCTAGATGATCTGTCCAGAGGACACAGTGGTGTTTTCAGATCCCCTGTGATTATTGTGTTGCAGTCTATCTTTCTCTTGAGGTCTAACAGTCTCTCTTTGATGAATTGAGGTGTTGCAGTGTTAGTTATGTAGATATTTATAAGTGTTATATCTTCTTTGTGAATAAGTCCTTTTAGTACTATATAATGTTCTTTGTCTCTTCTTATATCTTTCATCTTAAAGTCTATTTGGTCTGATACTAGTATTACTTCTCCAGCCTTTTTGGGGTTCCATTTTCATGGAATGTCTTTTTCCAACTCTACACATTTAGTCTATGTATGTCCTTATCAATGAGGCGTGTTTCTTGTAAGCAGCATATAGATGGCTTCTTTTTTTTTTAGTCTGTTCAGCAAGTATATGTCTTTTAATGGAATAATTTAATCCATTCACTGTTGTGATTAATATTTGTTAGTCATTTTTGTTAGTCATTTTTCTCTGTTGATTTTGTTCTCCTATTTATGCTTGTCTCACTTCAGTTATCATGATGCAACACTCCCCTCAGTACTTCCTGTAGTGCTGGTCTATTATTGGTGAATTATTTCTGTTTATCTGAGAATACTTTCAATTGTTTTTCTCATGTGAAGGATAATATTTTTGGATATAGTATTCTTGATGGAAATTGTTTTATTTTTAATGTTTTGAATAAATCTTCCTATTCTTTCCTTGCCTGCATTGTTTCAGTTGATAGGTCTGAAGATAGCCTAATAGAAAAACATTTATAAGTAACTTGACATTTTTCCCTTGCAATTTTTAGAATATTGTCATCATTTATTACCAATCAGGCTATGATGTGCCAGAGGGAGGATCTTTTTGTGTTGATTCCATTTGGGGTCCTTTTTATTTCTTGGGTCTGAATTTCTCCATATTGTCTATACTTCAAAATTTTTCAGGTAGTATTTTCTAATAGAGGTTTTCTATGCCTTTAGGAGATTCTTCACCTTCTGGAATACCAGTTATACAGATATTTGGGGGTGTCATGGTGTCTAGAATTTTTGACATGTTGTCCTCATTTTTTTGTTGTTGTTATTTTGATTCTTTTTGGTGATTTGATTTATGCTAGAAACTTTTTCTTCCAGTCCAATCTGCTGTTAATTCTTTCTAGGGTGATTTTAATTTTTTGTATTGTATCCTTTATTTCCAGAAGTTTTTTAAATTCTTTTTTAGGATGTTTATTTCTTTACAAAATTCCTCTTCTCCACTCTGGAATGATTTTCACATTTCCTGGAACTGATCGTTTTTCTCTTGCATCTGTATAATTTTGTCACTATGAATATTTGGAACTCTTTTTCTGACATTTCTGTGTATTTCTGTGTACTGATTACTGTTGGTAAGGGGCTACTATGCCCACCTTGGGGAGAGTTATCCACCTCGCTTTCTCATGTTTCTGTAAGATCTGTGCTGGTTTTTGGTAATCTGATGCAATATTCAGTTTTATCTACTTATTGGAGTAGATTCTGTAATTTTGCAGGTGGGAATTTCACCCTTAGTTATCAGATGTAGAACATATTGGAGGATTGTGTCTCCAAGGTTAGAGCAGTTATGAGTAATTTCCTGTGCTTGCCTCCTCTACCAAAGGTTCAGTTTTTGATTGAGTTGGGAGTAAGTTAAGTATACATACTTAGTGAGAGGATCAAGTAATATGCCAACTTTGGGTGCTGGACTGGTGTACCAAAAGTTCCAGAGTTACTCTCAAGCTTTAAGAGTGGACTGGGACCAGAAGTTAGCATAATGGCTATGTCGCTGGACTCCCACATAGTCAACCGCGGTTCGCATCCCAGAACTGGTGGCTTAAAACTCACGTTGGGCGTGTGTGCGTGCGTGCCCAAGATCCCAAGAGGAGAATGGAGGAGAAGGGATTGCAGCATGGCCATGCCCCCTGGGGGGTGATTTCTTGCTTTCTGTCTGTCTTTCTCTCTCTGTCTGGCAAATGCACACACCCTATTCCGGAAAGTGCCCCCCCCGAGTGGAAAAGCCCCCCCCCCCCAAAAAAAAAAAAAAAAAAAAAAAAAAAGAGAATGGACTTGTACAAGGAGGCCGGCCCAGACAAGGCTCAAGTATCCTAGCAGGCAGGCCAATCCCAGGCCCCCAGAGCAGTGGGCCAGGGAGTGGCAAATGTTCCAAAGTTACTCCAAGGCCCCGAGTATAGACTCATCCATGGAGATCCTCCCAGACCAGACTTAAGTCTTCCAGCTGACAGGTGAGCCCAGGCCACCACAGGAGTATGTGACAGAATAGTGAAAGGTCCAAAGTTACTCCCAAGTTCCTAGTGTGGTCTCACCTGAGGAGGCCTGCTCAGACTGGGCTCATATCTCCCAGTGGGTGGAGTGAGACCCCAAAGGTCTTTCAGCACTCTCTTCTCAGGTGTATTCTATAAGGTAAATAGGAGTCTCCTTAAAAACAAAAACAATTTCACTGGGCCTTTTACTACCAAAGATTTCATTTGTGTGTGGTCTAAAGATCTGGATTCCAAGAAACCCCAAATTCCTCAGCAAGAAAACCCAAATTAATTCTTTTCTCTGTATTAGAAGCTTCAGGCATATCAGAAACTACTATTATGATTCATGATTAAGGGTCAGCAGGTGGCATGGTGACTGAAGTGTTGTACTCCCACATAGCCAACCACAGTTTGAGTCCTGGATCCCAGTGGCTTGAAACTTACACCAGGTACTTGTGTGCATGCCCAAAATTCCAAGAGGAGAATGGAGAGGATAGGATTGTGGTGTGGCGATTCTCCTCAAGGGAGTGATTTCTCACTTTCTGTCTCTCTGTCTCTGTTTCTCTGATGAGTGCATGTGCCCTATAGCAAACAAACAAACAAACAAAACAAACAAAAAAAACCCTTTCTATAAAAACAAAAACCGATGGTTAGATCAGAGACTGAATTCCTGAGCCTACCAAGGTAAGAATGGCTTACATAAAACAAATTCATAAATATATTCTTTAGAATGCCTATTGAGTTAACTGGTTGTAAGTAGATCTGGAAATAATCTGTGAGGCCCTTTATTCTCTGATTCACTGAAGATTCTCTATATAAAGTGTTTCTTTAACTTGAAGTTTACGCCCCTCAATTCTCTTCCTGATGTCATTCTCACTTTTCTTGGCATAACCTCTAAAGTTAATCCATAAGACCCTATTTGGGGTAATCAAAACCTCTATGCCTCAGCATGGAGAAGTGGATCTAGTAAGAGAAGGTTTTGCATGGCCTGAGTTACTAGTGTTTTATATAGACAAAATATGGTCCAATGTTTGTTATGTATTTCCATTTTGATAGCTATAATGGCCCCTTCATGTTCTTCTTCCTCTACTTCTATTTTTTTTTTGTCACCTTCATGTTCTATATGGTACACTCTAGTTTTCTTGCTCTTGATATTGAATTTTAGAAACCATTCAAACTTCAGTGTATCAAATCCCAGGCAGTGTCTCCATTTTCTTTGATAACTACTACATTTTATTTAAAAAGGAGGGATTTCAGTCACTTATCAAAGTGCATATGACAAAATGCTTTACCATTTCAAGGAAGAAGTTATAAAATGATATCAGATCATTCCACACAATAATGATAACACAGGATATTGGGGTGATTAGGCCCAATACTAGTGCAGGGCCTGGTTCTTCTCTTGTGTTCCTGAAGAATTAGAGATGCAGACACAAAGAGGGGATAGCAAATCAGAGTTTATTGAATGATATGAAAGCTCTCAAAGCAGAGAGGGGATATGGAAAAGTGGGGAGCTGATTTGGGACACTCGTCAGGGATTTTTATCCTAGAAGGAGGACCATGTTCATATTTTGTCCCAGTGGGGATCACGTATTAGTTATGCCATACTGTACATTTAGAGAACTGTACAATTAGAAAACTAATAAATGATTACCCAAGTATTTGCCTAAGAGCTTCAGGTTTTAGAAGTCATTCATTTGTGGTCAATGTTGGAATCTTTGCTTGAGAGCTTTTGACACTGAAAGCCGTTATCTAGTTTACAGAATATATTGAGAACATGGCAAAATCTATTTTAGGTTCATCATTGAGTCACTGTTGAAAGCTGTTTCTTGTGAGCAAGCAGTTCCTAGTGAAAACTTGACTATTCTACCTCTGTCTTCAATCCTTACATCCTAGCTCTCTTGTTTTTAGGGTTCTATCTCCTATTTCAATAACATGTCTCTAAAAGCCTTATAGATTTGCATGTCAGAAGTTTAGAAATTTGACTATGAACATTGTATAGCACTTTCTCTCAAGGTAACTCAGCAGTACCCTATTTTTAATTTTGAAAATTACTTATTCACAATATATATATATATATATATATATATATATTCTTCTGAATCTTCACTCAAGCCAAAAGGCTTAGGACATTTATGAGTGAATAAGTGTACCTGGGTGTTTATAGTACAATCCACCCATTTCCTGAAGTGATGCATGAGAGTGAAGCAGGTGCAACTCCATCTTGGAGGAGTGCCTCCATTATAAAGTATTAGACTCCGATGACTGGAAATTTGCCTTCTCTTTTGTGTCTAAGAGAAAACAGAGTAAACTGACAATCCTATTTTCTCCTAGTTGGCTTAATATAAGGTCCAATCGTCCTATTGTCTTTAAACCTCACTTCTCCTAGTTGGCTTAATATAAGGTCCAATCACCAGACCTTTCTCTGAGCCATAAAGACCATTAAGATTCCATTGTGTTTAGGTAGGGATTGAACATACCCTTAGGAATGATTAACCTGTTTTTCTTGCTTTTGTAATGTGCTTTTGCTCTTACATTGTTAAAATCCTACCCCCTACCTTTTCCCCCCATTCAAGTCCACTGCACCTTACCCTTATGAATCATCACATCATCCCTAACAGGATAGTACATTTTTTGCCTTTATAAGTGCCCCTCAGCTTGCAATCAGGGCTGTGGGGTTTTGAGAGACATGAAAACCACCAAATCCTTAGGGTGACTGAAGGAGGGGTGGTCCCTGCTTCACTTTCTATTTTACCACTATCCAGTTTTAGAAACTGGTGTTGAATTGGTGCTCTGTCTGGAAAACTTCTCTCAAAGCACCTAAAGGATAGTTTACATAGACACCAAACAAGTAAAAACATCACAGACATTTCAGACTCTGATCAGGGAGAGAAAAAGGTATCCTGGACTTTTGTATTAAAATTTGGAGAACGAGTTCTAGTCTTATAGAGAAGGCCAATCCATGCATTCCATCCATTGGAGACCCTTAGGCTTCACACAATGCTAAAGGACTCATTATGCTTGAAAATATATTGGAATCTCATTGTTCTTCTCAGCTTCTCAGAAGAAGTGCCGAACACTCTGAATTCATAGGCAATTCTTGCAAAGAGCTCAAAGTGTTAGCCCCTGGGTTAATGAACTTCCAAAGAGAACATAGGCACTCTGACAATAGAGGCAAGTCACTCCAGAGAGTTAACTTTTTCTTTCATAATTTTTGTATCATTATTAAAATATATTTGAATGATTAAAATTTGTGTGTATTCTTCTAAAATTAACTTCAGCATCATTTTGTTGTCACATTTTAAAATTTACATTTACTCACTGTTCATCTTTACAACATGCCTTTTCCAAACATGAATAAAGTTTATATTAAAAGTTAAATATATTACCATGGGACCAGCAGTTAGTGTAATGGCTATGTCGCTGTGTGGGAGGCTGCGCACCAGCAAGTCTGCCTAGGTTTCTCAGAGAACAAACAATTACCATGATTGGTTCCCTTCCAAAAACCTGACCTTTGAAACTTTGCTCTGATTGGCCACTAGAATCCCTCAGATTTGCATATCCGGCACCTCATGGTTGGTCCAAAAACAACCAATCACAGCCCACCATTTACAACCAATCAGGGCCCACCGTTTACAAACAATCATGACCCACTGTTTCAACCAATCACAACCCACCGTTTACAACCAATCACGGCCCATCGTTTACAACCCACCAGAATGTATATAACCACGATGCCTGGCCCACAGTAGCCAGATGACGACGACGACCAGGAAGACGACGACTGAAGATCCTGAAGAGCTGACTCTGCATCATCTCCAGACGACCTGGGAGACCCTGAAGAGTTGTAACACTACATCATCTCCAGACGACCCTGAAGAGTTGTGACACCGCATTGTCTCCATGCTGCTCACGGTAGACGACGCGACCCTTAAGAGCTGTGACACTGCATCGTCTCTGTGCTGTACCGTGCTGCCCACAATAAATGGACGACACTGTCGTCTCTGTGCAGTAACACTACGCCGCTTGTCCCGGCTCTCACTCCTTCACTCAGGAAACCTGTTTGGCAGTCCCCCCGGGTCGGGACATTGCTGGACTCCCATGTAGTTGACCGCGGTTCATGTCCCAGACCCAGTGGCTTAAAACTCACGCCAGG